GGTGTTGATGATATGATATAATTGTATTCTTAATTGCACCCTCCTCATAATAATAGAGCTATCCTCAAGTTTGATTGGATTGATCATGTTCCGAGCACTCCTCATGGAGGCAAAGAAGTTCTTACTATTGTTATTACCCTCCTTGAGTCATTGATTACTAGATTTCTATTTGAGCAAACTTTCTTCATGTTTACTAAGAATAAGTAACTCCTCCAATTGTGCCTTTTCTATAGCCCGAGTAATGGTCAATTACTAGCTCCTATTGAAGTTGTCGTGAGGCTTTGTTACATCCCCTAAAACCCCCAATGTGTAAGGGACAATCTGAAGCATCCATCATTTCCAAAAGAGCAAATCTATTATCAGAAGACACTAAGTTGGAGGCACTTTTGTTGCTGTTGTTTGACCTTATTTCCTTGCTACCAACTGGTGTAAATTATGAGGAAGAAGGATCAGACAAGATAGTAGTAAGGTAATTGAGGAGTTAATATTACTCTTCGGAATGGGAGATGGCCTAGATAGGCCAAAAGTTACCCATGCAGCATCTTCGTTTACTATCGGCTCTTGATGGCCTGAGACCAAGTTAGCAGGGACTACAAATTTTTGGGTCTTAGGAACCCAAATTTCTTTGCCACTTCCAGTATAATCTTTGTGAACAAAGCAATAGCATTTCTTCCATCTCAAAGGCACCCAGCTCTATTGCACCTTGGCCTACAATTTTTTTCCAATACCCATGTCAATATTGAAATTTTCTAGGAATGTGGTATCTATATCTGTATGGATACATGTCTTTGCAAAGGATAGCCACCTTTTTTTGTTCAATGGCCGAGTGCAAATATAGAGATCTTCTAAGAACACTACAGACGTAACTAAAACCTGTTTTGGTCCATTAAACATGAAATACATTATAAAGACATATCCAAACAGGCACAAAAGCAATCTTCGTTCTCTCTAATCTAATAAGGGGATGCCACTTTTGTAGAAAAATAGGCTTTCCTGCAATGTTCCACATGCCCACCTCCAAAATTTCCACCATTTTCACTACATTTGAAAAGCAAAAGAAAAAGAAGCCATCAATTGTGGCAGATCTATCTAGAAGGTTATTTTTGCCCCACAATTTCTCAATTACACCTCCAACTAAGTAAAAACAGGGCAGTTTTGGAAATATGACAAACGCTCGGCTAACACCTCAAGGGGAGGAATTGCTATAAGTTTATCTCCATTCTTGACAGGATGGTGAAAATCTAGCTTAGCAGATTGGGCCATAATAATGTTTTTGCAATACACACTTGATGGGGCAGCAAAAGTATCGTTCTCATTGGGAGAATAAGCAAGTTCTCTCGCTAATTCAGGTTTATACACACAATGCTAACCCCAACATCAACATCAGCACTTATCCCATCCCCAAACTCAGTGTCAACATCACACATATATTTACCAGCAGTACAGTTACCCCCAGCCACAGCATCATTATCACAATTAGGGAGATCGACAAAAATTGTACATGGTAAGCTAGTATGATTGACTGTCAGAGTCCCTCCTCTTGCTTTCGCCTTTTGTGAACTGAAGAGGCTATTCTTTATTTCTGTAGAAAGTGCATCAAGTTCTCGGGAGATCAGAGATGAGGATTTCCCAATATTTTCTTTTTTTTTTCTTTTGCATGTCAGATTCAAACCACCATTTTTAAACCTTTTCCTGGTGAAATGGGCGGGTCAAAGGGGTGGGTCGAAGCACTCAAGAACCTGGACCACCGGCTACCGCAACCCAATCAGTGACCCTAACCAGTAAAAACCGACCATGACCCACAACCCAGCGTCCCCCATAACCCCAAATAGCAAAATCAGCGATTTGACTATCGAGAGATAGATGACTTGTGACGTCGAGAGTAGAGAGACGAACGGTGGACGCCGATTGAGGAGCTTGGAGAGCAGCGAGCTGCAACGGGAGAAGTAGCCACGCATATGCGACCAGAAACTCCTCTTTCCTTCTTTCAAGAATTTTCACAAATACCAAGGCCGCGTTAAGTTGAGCAGGGGACAGCGGGGAATAAATGGACCAAGTGCCGAATACACAAAGATCTTTTTACACCTTAGCAAATTGAAGGTCTTGAATTCCGTTGAGAAGTGGTAGTACCTGCGTAAGAAATGGGTTTGGTCAAATAGACAAAGTCTTGTCTTGCATAAAATTCATGGTAAAGGACATGTAGCTCATTTGCATGCTAAAGCATTGGCTTGTGGACGCGTGGGGAAGATTACTCAATCAATATTAAACTTATTCTATGCATATCAATTTAATCATAAACTTTTCAATATTTTCAATTTAGTTAAAAATCTTTGCGCGAAATTCCGATGCAGTCCTTTCTACTAATTTTCATCAGAAATTGTTGATGTGGCGATTCGCTCATTGTCGGCTGTCCTACGTAGCATGCTGGCAATCTAACGTAGACAAATTTGCTCAAAACGACATCGTTTCGAGTAATTTATTGAATTTTATAAAAAAATATTTCTTTTTCTTCTTTATTTTACCGTTCATCTTCTTTTTTCTTTTACTAATCATCTTTTTGTTTCTTTCTTGTTGACTAAATCTTGCATATCAAATGCAGACAATGCATAACTAGAATAAAAACACCTATTAGCTCTCTTTGGTCAATTGTCCACAGCTCCGCAGCTCATCAAGAGCTGTTAAAAAATTTCTCCAGTTTGAGTAGGTGTATAATATGCCTACTTTGAATTCAAAATGGGGCCATGAAAAGTGTGGACATAGATCAATAGTCAAGTTTGACCGCATATTAGTTGGACTCCGCGGAAGGCATACAAGGGATTCTTATTTTGCCGTTAGATGAGATTCTTGGCTTTATCTATTCTTCCTTGATTGGTCAAAGCTGATATGTTGACTCATATAGAAAAATAGCAGCAAGAGAGAAGTACAATAGGGAGGCTCTCCGTGTTAAGCCGCGTGTGGAGTTTTTCTTCGGAGAACGTATAAAAAATTTTGTTTGATCAGCTGTACGAAGAGCTTCGAACACGGACGGATTTGTGCTGTGAGTTTTACATTCAAATTAAGTTGTTTATTTATTTATATAAACTTTTTGGTTTGGATGTAATCAAGGTGTAGAAAATACTTGAGAGTATGAGTAACTGTAAGGATTATTTGCAGCTGATTCTCTTCATGGAGTAGGTACCGACACTCAGACTGAAGCATGTAAATATCTTATGTCGTTATTGTTCCTCGTTTATTTCTTTGGTGATTAAATTGCAAGATCTTATGAGTTTCCGCAACAATATCACAACAGAAGCTAAGGCCTTCTTCAACCCCATACTCTCCAAAATCGAAGAACTATCCACTGAGTTACTAAACTAATGCCTCAGCCTCGCACTCTTCTCTCCCAAATCGCCTCCATTCGCACTCTCATGTTTTGAATCGAATGGTCCCTTCCCATTGTCAAGCTTGGGTCTACACCTTTTAATTTTACCAATTTTGGCCAAAAATTGTTGACGGAGATGCTGGTTGTCCTACATGGCACAATTGACACTAACATGGACAAATTATAATAATATGTTTTTATTTTTTATTATTTTTTCTTTTTCTTCTCTTTTTATTCTTCTCTTGTTTTCTTTTTTCCCCTTTTCTTTTTTTCTTTTCCCATTTTTCCCTTTAGAGGGCCTCATCAGTGGCTGTGAAGGTCGCTAACCTCAGGTGAGAGCGAGGGTTGCCATCACTCGCCCAAGGAAACGTAGCCCTCGCTTGGCCTAAGCTAGCAATGGCCCCCCTCATTAGCGCTAGCCATGCCGCAAAGGTTTAAGACTTGTCTATGTCAACGTCGGCCATGCCATGTAGGATGGTCGACGTTCACATAAGCGATATCCGGCTAAAATTGGCTTGATGGATTCAATTGACAAAACATGAAAATGTTTAAAACTCAATTGGCAAAATTAAAAGGTTTAGGACCAAATTGGAAAAAGTGCAATAGATTTAGAACTTTTTAAACAATTTTCCCCATTTAGAATCATACTTTTGCAACCATCTATATAAATCAATGGGATTACCTATATGGTATAAATCAATTGATAGTAATTGTTTGATCTATTATTATTAGCATTTCTGATCTCTAGGAGAAGTGGTAGAGTGCATGCGCAGTCGGTGATGTGTTTGCTCCATGTCGTGGACGTTGATTTACTAATAATATGTGCAGATTCATCTGGATTGGGGAGAATAGGAGATCAAAGTCCTAGAACAGGAGGGTGCAGCGGAAGCTAAGTTGAATTTGGGACGTTGCACTAGAACTCTCGTTGCATTTATACCTAAAAATCTTGTACTTTCAAATTTACAGGATTACTAGCTTTTGTTATAAAAAAAGTAAGTATACTAGGGAATGTAATTTTTTCGCACTAAACCCTAAACTTTTATCATTAGTGGTTAATAGCCAATCAAGATTCGAAATTTGGGGTCGATCTTCTAGTTGGGAGATCAAAGTACGGTTCATCCATTCATTAGCAATCATTCAATTTGCAAGTTCTTTCCTTTTCATTTCCCAAATCTTTTATGTTCGAGTTATTGCTCAAGGGACTTTTTGGTCCTTCTCAATTAAACCAAGTCAGATTATCCTATTCCGTTCATTAGGAATCATTCAACAACTTCTAATTTTAAATTATGGAATAAGATATTTAAGTGGAAGTTTCCTCTTACTGAACTACTAAGTAATATAAAATATTGTGTCCACATTTTTTTTCGACTTTGCTTTTCCATTAGAGTCTATGCTTCTTCGAGACTCGAATTGCTTATTGCTTGGAAATCGCCGGTCGTCTTATTGTACTCGCAAAAGACAGAGACGCAGTCAAAGGAGTCAACAGTGTCTCGAGACTCGAACGTTGCCCCCTGAGAAACACGACAACTCTGCAATATTTTCTCCTGCAAATAACGTGTTGGGCCTAGCGTGCTAGGCATGGCAGCTGCCCTATATAAAATGGTTCACCACATTTTGTTTTCCACGCTATCAGCACGGTAGTCATATTGTCTACGGACCGAGCCTGTTGAGGAATACTTCTATCAAAGAGGGACCCGAAGCACCCAAAGAAAAAAAAATGGATCCTGCAAATCTCCTCTTACTTCTTCTCATGTTTGCTTCCACCATAAACGCCCAATTCCCAGTGACCCACTGTGGTTCGACCGGCAACTTCACCGCCAACAGCACCTACCAAACCACCCTCACCACCCTCCTCTCCTCCATCTCCACCGTCAACTCCTTTTCACTCTCCTACGGCTTCTTCAATGCCTCTGCCGCCGTCTTTGGCGCCTCCCTAACCCTCTACGTTTTTGGCCTCTGCCGCGGTGACTTAAGCGCCGAGACCTGCCGCGCCAGCCTCGATGTCTTGGCCTCCGACATCAGCGGCCTCTGCCCCCTCCAGAAAGAGGCACTCCTCTACTCCGATAATTGCATCATCCGGTACTCAGATGCCTCGTTCTTCAACATAGTCGCGACAGAACCACACTACATGGTGAAAACCAAATACAACGTCTCGAGCCCAGACACATACGACGCAGTGCTAAGGAAGCTCCTGAATAGTCTGCGGGCCGAGGCGGCAGGTGGCAGCTCGCTGAGAAAGTACGCATCGGGGAACGAATCAGCGGGATCTGACATGATCTACGCATTGGTGCAATGCACGCCGGACTTAACGGAGCAGCAATGCAACAACTGCCTCGTGATAGGCGTCCAGATGATCAAGGATTGCTGTTCCAGGTTCTCAGGAGGACGGTTCATGGTTCCAAGTTGCCTAATCATATACGAGGCCAATAATCAGTTCTTTGACCCGCTCAATGAGCCACTTCCTCTGCCGCTGCCGCCGCCGCCATCGTCCACGCAGGGGCCAGATGTGCTGCCTCCGCCACCAGGTATGTTGGCTCTTGTTCAGGAGTTAGGTACATGGCGTTTGTGTCTTTTTTTTTTTCAATAAAAATATCCGGGTTTCACGTAAGATTCACGCAATCAATTGATTATATGAGCTTAATCTACATGCTCTATAAATCATACGACTTTTTTATTGATATATGTTCAGTAGATCGTGTAATTTTTATTTTTTGGATCGGTATGTTGAATAAATACTTTTTGGCAAAAAAGAAGATATCGATTGGTCCATATTTTCTGGAAAAGAAGATATGTTTAATCTTTGATGCATCTACATGACTACTTGTCAACTATCAGAGTCAGTTCATTGAATCACAACTTATGGCATTCATAGCTCACAAGTTGTCTTTTGAGATTGTCAGTCTAGGCTAGGGTAATGAATCACCAGCAGATGTTCGACAATTACTGGTCATCAAAGGAAAAGAGAGGCTAAAACTTGCCTTAATCGTGTTTGATGGTCCGAAAATGAAGTTAATCAGAATAAGATTGATTACCAATGTTAGACATACTAAGAAATTTTATCGAAATTCTCTTATTAGATGTTGAAACAAATGGGCCTGTGTATTAAATGATCAACAATCAATAAAAAAAAATCAACATCACCTAATAAGGGAGTTTCTGTAAACTCTCTTATTACTTATAAGTTCGATAAGAAATTCCTCAAAAAAATTTATATATTATATTTTGGTTTGACAAAATACTTAGAAATATACATATTCTGACATTTTAAGTTTTTTTATGAACATAAGATAGGATGGGAAAAAAAATAATCAAATAAATAAATAATAAAGACCTAAGACCACCGTGATTGTTGTTCTCTCTACCCCCGTGGTCATCTGTGAGAGAGAGAGAGAGAGAGAGAGAGACCATCTTTAGTGCAGTGGAGGTTTTTTTTATTAGCAGTGATCACCTACGCAATGGTGGTCACAGATGGCGGTAGTCCGCATGTATACCTTGGTCCCATTTGTTTCTGTAAACCATATCACTGTCTTTACTCTGATTTCCATAAGAAATTCATGAAATTAATGAAATCGAAGTCGAAAAGGCAACCAATTACCCCGAAAAACAAAAATTTAGAGAATAATGTGACATATTCCAAATCTCATTAGACGAAAACTGGTAGGATGACAAAATCCAGAAATCTGAATAACTTTCCCTTGAGTTATCCGAGATTGGTGCGATGTATTTTTCACATCGTAATTTGTGGTGCGTATATGTTCTTGTTATATCTTTGCAACATGAATTTAGTTTCCGTAGTTGTAATGGCGCTTTAGTAATTTCTCCAGTGTGTTACTCAGTGAGAAATGAGCAATGATCATAAACATATTGTGCCTTTGCTCTTGCAGTTGGAAAGAGCAATTCGACGAGGACTGTGATCATTGCGGCTGTCACAATTGTTTCTGCACTACTCATTATTGGCGCTGTCGTGCTCTTGAAAGTGAAAAGGAAGAAGAAACAACCCAGACAAAATGTTGAAGGTGAGTCTTTATCCTTGCATTGCAACAGCAACGTTCATGAGGTTGAAAAAGATCATGGAAATGATGAAGTTGACTAATGACTATGCTTTTGCACCATAAAAATAGTAAGAGCTGCATCGTTTTCGGCAATTAGGCCAAGAAGTTTATAAGGGTTATGGGTTTAGGGTTTAGGGTTTATTAGTAATGCCTGCACGTGCAATTGTACATACTAAAAGGTGGTGACTCTTTAATTAGGGAAACTATGAACAGATAATGATGCTCGCTCTAAATGACCTCGTTTTTGTCTTTGTAGGCGAAGTTGTGGCTGAAATTATCACGGAGGAGTCGCTGCAATTTGATTTCGGCACCATTAGAACGGCAACGGATAATTTCTCTGATTCCAAGAAGATTGGACAAGGCAGTTTTGGTGCTGTTTACAAGGTAATAATTAATAAAGCACATACACTACTCTCTTGTATTCACAATTTAAGCAACCAAATAGTCAAAGATGACATCAATATGATAGTCATGCTTCAATGTACCAATCGATACTCACAAGGACCTAAAATGGTGAAATTTCAGGGTCTCTCCAACGGACAGGAAATCGCGGTCAAACAGATATCGCAAAATTCCAGCCAAGAGGAAGTAGAATTCAAGAACGAGGTCATGTTACTAGCTAGGCTACGACATAGGAACTTGGTCAGGCTCCTAGGTTTCTGTCTGGAAGGAGTCGAAAAGCTTCTCATTTACGAGTTTGTGCCCAATTCAAGCCTTGATCAGTTCATATTCGGTATGTTTCTCGGATGGTCATTCGTAAAATCAAATCCTCACAAAATAATTAATTGATGTATTATAGAATGTGACCAACATGTGTAGATCCCCGGAAGCGTGCAAGTCTAAACTGGGATAGGCGTCACAAGATAATAATGGGTGTTGCTCGAGGGATGCTTTACCTACATGAAGACTCTCGACTTATCATCCATCGGGAACTCAAAGCCAGCGACATTTTGTTGGACTCAGACATGAATCCTAAGATATCGGATTTAATTATGGCAAGGCTGTTCGAATTGGACCAAACTCAAGCAGAGACAAACCGAATCGTGGGGACCTAGTAAGTGCCACAACCTCCTAGAGCTAATGATTGACAAAAGAACAAAGCAAACAATAGAACTAATATGGTGGACTTATTGTGATGCACAGCGGATGCATAATGCCGGAGTATGTGATGAACGGAAACTTCTCAGTCAAGTCAAATGTGTTTAGTTTCGGAGTGCTCGTTTTAGAGATTGTGAGTGGTCAGAGGAACAATCATTGCATGAACAATGACATGGAGATCCTGATAAGCTATGTAAGTATAAGAACATACCTTCTCATTTTGCATAATATTCCAGAGATCAATATGCTCAATGTTTGTCAGATGTTTGCAGGTTTGGAATAATTGGAGCGAAGGATCAATATCGAACATCATTGATCCCTCTATAGTTTCTAGTTCGAGTACTGAAATCGAGAGGTGCATCCACATTGGTTTACTATGTGTCCAAGAAAATGCGGCTAGCCGGCCAACGATTGCCTCAGTCCTCTACATGCTTAACAACCACTCGGTCACTCTCCATGTGCCGTCGAGACCCGCATTCTTCATGCACAGAACCACTGAATTTGATATGTCATCCACGCAGGATTACGGTTCGAGGGTATATGAGGTTGAGAGATCAAGAAGCAAATTGAACCAATTCTCAAAAAATGAGGCCTCTATGACCAAGCCGTACCCACGATAGCCTTAGAAAATGGGTAATCAATGTGCCCTAAGCCTTATTTTTTTGTCTTTGTTGTGGTTTCAGATCATCAAAATTACAAACATCAAGCTAGCAAGAATTACCTAGAGTGGGGTAAATAGTTGATTTTAACTATTATTGACAAATTCAAAACGGAATTCAAAAGATCAAGAACAAAGTTTGAACTTAGTGTACAATGTTCAGATTTTAAATAATCTTTCGAAGCAGTTATGTAAGTGTGCAATATAATGTAATAAACAGAAGCAACTTTAAGAGACGAGAAAATCTGCACATAAGATTTATAGTGATTCTGCTTAGATCAAGCCTACATTCACTCTCACATGCTAATAGCCTACTAGCTGGATTCTACTAGATGATCAATTAGGATATTACAATTATGAGTGATAACACTCAGTGTATAATAGGTCTTACTATCTCACTAACTCACTCTTTTAGTACTACTCTCAAGATCACAAATTTTGCACACTTGAAGACAAGTATATATGTTTGAAATACGCTCAGACTTTGGAATTGTAGATTCTGGACTTTGTCTCTTGCTCCTGCTTCTCAGCACCTTAGTCTCCTTTTATACTCATCCGCTTCCAATCTAGCCATTGGACAATCTTTAGAAGATCATCTTCCAATCTCCACACTGGACAAATTTGTATTAAGAAGATTGAGTAGCTATTGAGTGACAAAATCTAAATCTTCATTGATTATGATCATCCATACAACCAATGTCTTGGTTTATAGAAATAGAGCTTTTCCGTTTAGAAAGTAACTTGTCTCGAGATTGATTTGCCAATTATTTAAAATATTTTGCGTTTCAAATTTTCTTTGTAAAAACAATCTTTAAGATTGAGTCTATCAATTCATTCTAAATGCTAAATCCAAACCAGATCACTAGATGTTATTTACGTTATGAACTTGTGTCACATACCAAACTTGCGTCGAGTTCTAGACTTACATTTTAGGATAGGAAAATAAGTAATTCTCTGAATCTAAAATTTTTCATCTCTAGTATAAAGTTTGAACATCATTTACTTGAAGTAAGTTCCTTAATCTGGACAAGATTAAGATTGCCATATGCTTCTCGTCTAAAAATAACTTCCTGAATCAAAATACCTCAAGACATTTATCAAACTTACATGACATACATGGATAGTTTTGTCAACTTCAAAATCTATTATGAGGGTTTTCTTAACATATGTTTTTAATTTTGAGGAGTTATACCACTTCGATGGTTTGGGATTAAATCCAGATTCATAGGATGTTGGAAGTGAAGGATACTCACAAAAAGTCATGCCTTATATACATAAACATCAAGCACAAGCTTGATCCCCCGACCCTAAAATTCTAGATCCATCGCTATTCATACATGAGAATGCATGTGTGTCTCGACCTACCTCACGAGGGCCGAACTCGATGAAGCGGGTTTAGAGGTAAGTGTTCATGAAATGGTCCATTGATCATGAACGTGGATTTTCCCTAAATCCATACCTCGCGTGACAGCGAATCGATTTTATCTTTTTTAGGAGTCGCCACTAGCCTAGGTCGGGGGTCGGCTAGAATACCCAATCGAAACGAGGGAGTTTCGTATCGATTTCTACGAAAACCAGAGATCATGAGTTCAGGGACTAGCTTACATTAATATTTCTATTAACGCCCTTTTGGTACCGCTAAACTTATCTTGGTTGTTATCTAAGTTGTCATGCATTTATTTTTTACCATTTTCATGCCAAAGTCTTAGTCCACTAGGTGATCATGTATCTTGTTTTTGTGTTTTCATTTAAGATTCTACACTAATCCTATCTTAGTCTAGAAAGTAAAGAAACAAACAATTGTATTGAAAAGCATTGTGCAAAGTAAATACTCAGGGTATTAAAAAGACGAACTAATTCTAAGTGCGAGAAAGTAAAACCCGCAACTCGTCGGGTTTTTATTACAACACAAATTGAAAACCCGAGATATGATCGGGAACGAATGAATTGAATATAAATTGAGACCGGATTGGACATTGGTCTATCACCTCCGTCTTTTACAATTTTGGCTCCATGGATCGCCTCTTGGGTGTCGGTGTTTATATCCATAAGATACATTCACGACAAACAATGCACAAAGGAACAACCAAAGAAAGGTAATAATGCAAACAATTCACTAATCAAACACAGGCCTCGGGATCGGCCTTTGCTTTACGCGCATTTCGATTCACCCACCCACTTAATCATCTAACATTATTTGATTAATGGTTAACGATAATGGGCTGTGTCACGCCCCGAACCCCATCGGGCACGCGACATCCTTACCTGGTCGATCTATGCGACGTCCTAGGAATGTCGCCGACCTCAAAATGCCATCAGAGATTTAAAGCCACAGCGGATACAACAAATAATCCCGGACAATATAAAACTGGGGAAAACATTCAGGGAGAATGCACATATTTCTTTTCATTACCAACTTATAGAATATTCACAATTACAATCTTAATATACAAGTGCACACCGTACTGTCCACCTCCGATAACAAAAGGACTAGATGATATGGCGTCCTAACTTCCAAAAATGGTACACCTCAAAAACTCTTATTAGACCCATGTACTAATCCCTACGGCCCTTACTTGGCGTCCACTTCGAGTCTGATTCATCACCATCTGAATCCGAACTCCCTTGAATAGTTTGCTCCTCTGAGGACTCCGATTCTGCTTCGATCACAATCGGGTGATTGATGTCGCCCGACTCAGCTGGAGCTGCGTTCTGGTACTCCTCGGCTAGGAAGTCAAAGAAATTATATTCTGGCACGAAATTGGGATCCATGTATTCCTCAAATGGGAGTATATACTCCGGGTCCCCTGCCGGCTCATCCGACTCCTCAGACTCGTCATCAGGCTCTACCTCGGGCTCCACCTCTTCTGGTTCCTCCTCCTCTGGTTCCTCTTCCTCTAGTTCCTCCTCCTCTGGAATCGGTTCTAAATCTATATCCATCGGGTCATCCTCAGCTTGCGAGGCTTTGGGCTCGGGCTCATACTCAGCCTCCGAAGATCCCTGAGCGGCGGGTGCTGGATGTATCCCAGACTGCGCTACGCTAACCTCCGTACTGGTCAACTCTCCATCAATCAGGGGTATAGCAGTCGGGTCCCAATCCCCAACTAAATCGAACGGAACATCGAATCCTCTAACAGGCCCGAACTCAGCCCCGTCCGCATCTCGGAAGAACCAGGCAGTGTACTTATGCTCTTCCCAAAGAGGCAAACCTACATCTATAAACACAGTAGAAGTGTGCTTAATCCAGGTCATCCCATCTCCCATTGGAAATTCTATAGCATCAACCTCGGTGTGCACTGGTACCCCAAAACGCTCTGGTGGCGGTGGCAGAGGATTCATGGATCCAGTCGGGGTTCTGAAATTTGTTGGTTGAAACAACCATGAGAACACTTCTCAGCAAGTTCACCCCTAAACCCTACCTAGGCTATCACGTACCTCCAGACAATCACCCAAACACGCAATCACACACATACCATTGTCACACAGCAGGTACATCAACACAATCGCAAGCACGCACAATTCTCATGTCATACACTCGTTCCATTCTCATCATATCTCATCCACATTCCTCGCCAGTGACCCGCATACACGTACACGCCTCAGGTGCACTGCGACCTCTTTCCACAACACTTCCAGGCCCGCGTAAACGTACACGCCTCAGGCCATGTTTCTTGCCCGCGTAAACGTACACGCCTCAGGCTCAACGTCTACCACCCACTACGCAACCCGCGTTGAAGTACACGCCTCAGGCTGGCAGTCTTCCGGTAAAACCGGGCATCATCCCGCGTAAACGTACACGCCTCAGGACGGCACAAATTCCACGATCACACATGCCATCTCATTTTCACTTTCTTACTTATGCATATGCTCAACAAGCATTCGCCATACACAATTGGCCCTTCACACGCGGCCCGTGCACGCATTAATTACACGAAATCCATGCACACTCAGCATTCGACATGGCCAGTAATAATAATTAAAATAGTCTGGCCCAACCTGCACATTATTAACATAATTCAATCAGCCAATTGCACAATTGCACACTCAATTTCACCACCCAAACTCACTTATAATTCAAACACACATAAAACACAGAAATCGCTATTTTTCTCCCACCAAACGACGCCAAATCGATTCCGGTCCTTCACGGGACTTTTTCACCATAAATTCTCGGTTCTAAAAATCCAACTTGCGTCCCGATCGGCCCATCACGGCCCCAAGAACAGTAGACCACAGCCACTGTTATTCTCGAATTTCCAATAAATATTGCCCGAATTAAATCCTAAGGCCTGCCACAAAATTTTCACTCCCAATTCATGCAATTCCGCACCTAACTTTTACCAGATTTCGCCCAAAAATCGTTCGTCGATACCCGAAATCCTAAGTTGGGTTTAGAGCGCGACTTACTCGCGTTCTAGACTATCGCGGCTAGAACGGAAAGCGGCGGTGCTCAATCGGGAACGGCGGCGACGAAGAACGGCTCCCGGCAGCGGCGATCGGCTTGGGTGGCGACGGCGCGGCTTGGGCGGTGGCCGGTGAGGCTCACGGCCAAAGGGAGGACCGAAAGAGAGAGAGAGACGGATGGCGGGATGGGGGTGCGGCAACGAGGACGGCGCGGCACGGTAGCGGTCCGGCGGTGCGGCGGCGGCGGCGGCGGCGGCGCGAAACGGCGGGATGAAGAGATGGCCGGAGGAGGGATTCACGGTGGAGAGGGGGGAAATTCACGGGGGAGAGAGGGGAAAGAGAGAGGAGAGAGAGAAAAAGGGGGGTCAAGGGCTAAATACCCAATTTTGACCACATTTTTGGCAATTTACCAAAATGCCCTTGCCCTTTAAAACATACCCTTTGATAATTCTCAAGGTTAAAATGGTCCGATTCTCCGTTCCTCATCGAAAATGAATTTTTCCGAAGGATTCGGGCACATAAAAAATTGCACATTACAACCGCAACGTCGTCCTAACGCTCCGTTGTGACTTCCAAATTTTCCGGTGTCTGATTTGGGCTGAATTAAATAATTCAATTCTATTAAACGTAACTCGAGCGTTTCTCAAACTAACGGGTGGCTTGTTGGGGAAATTCGCTTATTCGACCCGTGACTAATACTAAATCGAGTCACGTGCAATTTATTCAGACCGTCACGACTTCGGTTGTCAATAAAATTACGAGGATCAATTACTAGATCCGTGGGGTACGATCGTTTGGTATAGGTTCAGGATCGTTCGTCAATTCATTTCATGGTCCAGCGGTATCACCCGCGATCCACTACTGTGACAGTGGCGAACTAACCCCTGACTATCCTTAGATCGGCCAACAATGGCTCAAAATATCATCTCGACGATTTAATGGTCGAAAGTCAATCCACGATCGAATTTTCTTTAGTCGTACGAATTTAACTCCCCAATTAGCCTTTCCCTAATGGTTAGCATCTCAGGAATGATCAGTTCCGGGTGAGAACTAACTACGAGTACATTCATAAAGCTCAGTATTTTATAAATCCCAAATGGACTATTTTTCAGGATGTCATAGGCTGCCGTTTGCATTCACAAAATATCAACTCATATCGATTAACCCCTAAAGTGGGTTTTAAGTGATCATAATGGGCTACCCGCCGAACATGCACCGGGCCTAACATACATCTAACAAACACATGCATAGCAATGAGTAAAGCATGCATTCAGGCCCATGGGCCTTGTTTCTTAACCAATCAAGCAATGAGAAATGGGCCTCATAAGAGGACCACTTAATCA